ATTCGTTTGTGCTCAAATTAAGTGAAGTTTATCTTACAAATTTAAAATTTGTTCTTGGTTACAAATACTGAAAAATCTAAAACTATATTAGTTAACAGTCAATAACTTAGAAATGACAAACGGAGTAGATTTCGAAGAAGTTCTATAGCCATCATGATTGAAACTATTATGTCAATTCATGTTTACAAATTACAATTAATACAATATAACACCGTACTTATATACATACCCTTAAATAAACTACATACTAATTATTGTAAAAACTTATGTATTAAAATTTGGCTTCATGGATGTATAATAATTATTTATCGTTGAATTCAAATTTAACACATCCATTAGCTATCTATTGAACGGCTTCCCTGGTTAAATCAGACAAATGAGAACATAAAATACTTGTAGGATATTTTTATTGGAAATTAAACAAAAATGGGATTCAATGGAAAAGGGTCACTTAAAGAATTCTATGGTATAGTTAAAATTTATTACGAACAACTACGAAATAAAAGAACAATTACGAAACTCYGTTTTTAACTAATTTGATTCTTATTATTTTATTGCAGTTCGAAAAATAATTATCCTAAAAAAATTTACTTATATCAGACTTCAGTTATACACTTAAACCGAGTTATATACTATATAGGTACCAGGTACCTACAGTCTTATAACTACTGCTMCTCTACTAGTCTTATTTATCTTTTTTTTTTAAATTTATTACATACAAAATGCAAATTAAAATAACGATTTATTAATCTATGTATTTAAAATTCTTTTTACAGAAATATAAAACAAATCGATATAAAAACGGGTAATAATGAAATGTATAATATATAATATTTGTATATAGGGACAATACTATTAGATTTACTATTCAGAACTATCTATAATCAGAATATAATCTATATGTAGGTACAAAGTTCAAATGTTATCTAATTTGTTAACGTATTGAAATTAAGCTACCTATATCTATGTATAATATGCATATACAATATACTAATATACATGTACTTACCTATAT